TCAGCCCAGGCCAACGGGTATTTATGGACCCACGGTTGTCACCATTCCCATAAGACAGGGGCTGGAGATCCGAATGTCCACAGAGGCCAGGCAGCTATGGTCTCTGAGGGCTTAGGCGCAAAAAGTCTGTATTCATCTCTTAAGGCTAGGGATAAGACATGTATCGGCTGTCCAAGTCCATCCGTGACTGTCATTCCCCCAGGGTCAAAATGAATCTGAGCATTAACTTTAGTCAACAAGTCTCTTCCAAGTAGAGGGGCTGGGCATTCTGGTATCACCAAAAACGAATGGGACACCTGGTGGGTCCCCAGATCTACTTTTCGTTTTGTGGTCCAACAATATCTTTTTGTCCCCGTGGCTCCTTGCACCAAGCTGGTTTTCTTAGACATTGGTCCCAGTTTTTGATTTAAAACAGAGTGTTGGGCACCAGTATCTACCATGAAGCCAACGGGTTTCCCCTCCACGGTTACCCAGGACTCGGGGAGGGGTGCCGAGTCTTGACTCCCCTAGTCCCTGTCTTCCCCTGCATATAGAACTCGAGTTCCAGGGGAGATGCTCTCTCTCTGGGTCGTTCCTCTCCTTGGGTCCCTCTTAGGGCACTCGTTTTTCCAGTGCCCCTGTTCTTTGCAGTAGGCGCACTGATCTTTCTTTAGGGCCTGCCTTTTTGGTTTCTCTTTTCCTCCCGTCCGGGGGTCTCAAGGTTCCCTCAATTCTGTTCCGGCCTTTATCCCCGCAAAAAGAATCTGAGCTAGCTCCCTCTGGTTCTTCCGGTTTTCCCTCGCTCTATATTATCTATCTTCCTTCCTGATCTTCTCAGCTAATTCCCTTTCCTCCCGTCGAATTTGTCCTTCCCTTTCTTCTGGGGTCTCCCTATTAAATACCTTTTCAGCTGCTTTCAGTAAATCCTGTACTGTCTGTTCTCCCAATCCCTCTATCTTTTGTAATTTCCTCCTAATATCTGGGGCTGCCTGATTCACAAACGCTAGTAGAACTGCAGCGCGTGATTCCTCAGCCTGGGGGTCCATAGGTGTATACTGCCTAAAGGCTTCCATCAGCCTCTCTAGGAAGGCTGCCGGGCTCTCGGTGAGCTCTTGCCTTACTAAATTTACCTTTGCCAAATTTGTTGGCTTTCTTGCTGCGGCCCGCAGGCCAGCCATCAGAGTCTGGCGGTACACTCGAAGACGCTCCCTACCTTCCGCTCGCTCAAAATCCCAGTTAGGCCGCAACAGAGGAAAACCCTCGTCCAGGAGATGAGGCTGGGCGGTTGGCCTCCCGTCGGCCCCCGGGACCCGTTTCCGCGCCTCTGCCAGAATTCGCTCCCGTTCTTCTGTGGTGAAGAGCAGCTGCAACAGCTGCTGACAATCGTCCCAGGTGGGGTTGTGAGTGAACAAAATGGAATCTAAGAGGTCAATGAAGCCTTGGGGCTTCTCTGAGAAAGGAGGGTTTTGGGTCTTCCAATTGTAGTCACTCGTGGAAAAGGGCCAGTACTGATAGGTTCACTCTCCGTCCGGGTTAGCTGGTCCCACTTGGACGGGGAGCGCCTGAACAGTGGATGAAGGTAACTCTGGGTCCCCAGGGTCTTGCCCACCTCTATCTCCCCTCGTTCTCCCCCAGGTCCCCAATGCTGGTCCCCCCTCATGGTCGGTTCCCGTTGGCCCTCTTAGTCCTCTCGGTTCACCCGTGGGAGCTTCTCTCCTCGGAGGGAATTGCAAGGGGGGCACATATGGCGGAGGCCTCGTCTCCGTTTCTAGATCTATCAGGTTTGGATAAGATGATTCCTGAAAGACTAGTTTTGGGTCCTCTTTCTTTTTGGTTTTCTCTGGGGGGGGGGGGGTCTTCATCACCAGGACCTGTGAATTAGAAGAGCTAGAAGGTTTGTGAACGAAAGGTTTTAACCACTTAGGCGGATCTTCCACTAGATCCTGCCAAACCATGACATAGGGGACCTGATCCGGATGGCCCCAGGGATCCGGAGGCATAATCTTCTCCTTCACAGCCTGTATGATGGACGGTTGAAAAGTGCCTTCCGGAGGCCATCCAACCTGGAAGGTGGGCCACTCTGCAGAGCAAAAGGTTATTAATTTACTTTTCTTGACTAGCAAAGACAAGTTATGGGCCCTGGCCCTGACATCTGAAAAATGGTCAGTCATGAGGGAAAGTGGGGTAGATTCCCCCTGACCCATGGTCAAAGAATAAATGGTAGGGAAGAGAGAGGGAGCGAGGAAGTCACTGAGAACGACCACCAAAAATCCTACCGGGAGTGGTGGCGGCCAAGAGGTTGGGCTTATGGTATGCTTTTGGAACTGTTTATATGCCTGCATCGTTGCATGGAAGTTTTCTTGCTGGGGGCGGGCACCCTAGGGGTTTCTAGCCCATTCTATGACCCCCTTATCCTCTCACAGGAGTCTTCAAATGGCAGGCGCCCTAATGGCCTTTAAGTGCCTGACCCGTGCCCACACAAAGAATTTTAGGCCACATCCTCAGTTAAGGATGTTAAAGGAGAGTTTAGGCTCACTTATTGTAGGGCCTTCAGAGTCCGCCAGGGTGTAGAAGGAGAATAAGTCAGAAGAGAGAGAAGAGAACGATGCACCAGAAGAGAATGAGACAAGAGACAATGCTGGCACACACACACGGAGAGCTGAAGACAAACACACGGACAGGCAAACGTCGGCTGACAACACAGCGCTGGGTTTTCAGGCCCCCTGAGTTTTCTTGCCTCCCGGTACTAGGTTCACCTTACCGAATGGCGTCCACTGCTCACCAGACTCGGCTCAGGAGAGGAACTCTCCTTCCGGCAGAGCCGGCTGCCTTCCAGCGCACTCGCTGGCCTCTCTCTTGCGCCAGCTGGAACGTCCAGTCCGTTCCCAACCCTCTATAGAAAGCTTTCTCCTGTGCCAGATACCTTCCCACTTCACAGCAGGGCCTCGGATTTATACTGGACTTTCCTGTCCTGCCTGAGCACCGGTGCTATTATCTATCCTTCCCCTCTGTCCTGGAAGTGTTCTCTTCCCCTGGTCAAGGGATCCCGGATGAGCCCCCAAATGTTATGCCCGATGTCTGAATCCCTGAGTGGGAAGAGAGAAGGCCTCCAAGACAATGCAGCTCACAAAAAGGGAAGTTTATTGCTGCCTTGAGTCAGGGCTCCTGCCGCATCCAACGCAGTGGAGCGGGGTCAGAGAGCCCCGAGCCCAAGCTGTTACACAAATTTATAGGGTGAGCACACGCCGTTGGTAGTTGGTTTAAGCGGATTGGTCAAAACTTTTGCGCGTGTGGGACTTTCCTGGGGGTTTCCGCCCCGCTCCTAATTGGCAAACAGCCAGCGGTCAGTGTTAAGCTGATTGGTTGTATCCAGGTGGCATGATAATCTTACCACCCAGAAGTAGGAAGGCCTACTCCTAATCTAAGCTGCCTGCCATGGGGTTACTTCTGCTCACCTCACAGTATCTCAAATTTTATTTCCTGGGAGCAGGCTGATCTTCACAGAGTATGAAATTACATCTTTCTCCTGCAGTTCACAAGAAGTAAAGCCCCTCAGTCCATCTAGGTGGGATTGTCACTTTCACGTATTCCTCAGAGTAATGCATGGATGGAAAATTCTTTAAGAGACGGGAATACCAGACCACCTTACCTGCCTCCTGAGAAATCGGTATGTGGGTCTAGAAGCAACAGTTAGAACCAGACATGTAACAACAAACTAATTCCAAATTGGGAAAGGAGCACATCAAGGCTGTATATTGTCACCCTGCTTATTTAACTTAAATACAGAAAACATTGTGTGAAATGCCAGACTGGATGAAGCACAAGCTGGAATCAAGATTGCCAGGAGAAATATCAATAACCTCAGATATGCAGATGACACCACCCTTGTAGCAGAAATCAAAGAGGAACTGAGGAGCCTCTTGATGAAAGTGAAAGAGAAGAGTGAAAAAGCTGGCCTAAAACTCAACATTCAAATAACTAAGATCATGGCATCCAGCCCCATCACTTCATGGCAAACTGATGAAGAAACAATGGAAACAGTGACAGACTATTTCCTTGGGCTCCAAAATCACTGCAGATGGTGACTGCAGCCATGAAATTAGAAGATGCTTGCTCCTTGGAAGAAAACCTATGACCAACCTAGACAGTATATTAAAAAGCAGAGACATTACTTTACCAACAAAAGTCCATTTAGTCAAAGCTATGGTTTTTCCAGTAGTCATATATGGATGTGAGAGTTGGACCATAAAGAAAGTTGAGCATCAAAGAATGGATGCTTTTGAACTGTGGTATTGGAGAAGACTCTTAAGAGTCCCTTGGACTGCAAGGAGATCCAACCAATCCATCCTACAAGAGATAAGTCCTAAATATTAATTGGAAGGACTGATGCTGAAGCTGTAACTCCAACATTTTGGCCACCTGATGCAAAGAATGACTCATTTGAAAAGACCCTAATGCTGGGGAAGATTGAAGGCGGGAGAAGGGGACGACAGAGGATGAGGTGGTTGGATGGCATCACTGACTGGATGGACATGAGTTTCAGCAAGCTCTGGGAGTTGGTGATGGACAGGGAAGGCTGGCTTGCTGCAGTCCATGGGGTCGCTGAGAGTCAGACACCATTGAGCGACTGAACTGAACTGATGCTCTGATAGTCAAGACTGTCAACACCCTTTCCCAGTAGCCTCTAGAGCGCTAGAAACTACATTACCCAGAAGGTTGTGTGCCGTGTTGAGCCAATGACAGGACAACATAAAGGCATTTTTGTGCCTGTGGCTTTCCTCGGGGCGGGACTTCCGGCGTCCTCCTCCTGGCGGCCATTTATATTGCTTTTCTGTGTGTTGTCGCTCGGGAACGCTACGTTGGGAGTGAGGTGACGGGATTGAGAAGGTCCAAGAGGCAGCGCAAAGAGGCGGGTCTCAAGTTCGGCGACGCCGTCCGGGGTCCCCCGCGCCAGGCCCCAAATCGCGCCCGCTGTGCCCGCTTCCCGCCTCCTCTCCCGCCGGCTCTGGCCTCAGAGTCCGATGGCGGCGGCGGCGGCACTGAGGGATCAGCCTCAGGTAAACGCAGGTCCCCTGGGCCCTTACCATTCTCACCTCACCAGACACTAAAGCCCGAAGTGCGTGACGCCTGCTCACGTGCCTGAAGCCCGGCCCTGTGGTCCAGGCCGGTGAGGCGGTCGTGGGTGGGGCCCTGTGTCTGACAGTGTGATGGAGCCGGGGAGAGGTGACAGGCGGGGAGAGGGTGACAGGCGGAGGAACCTGCCTGTACAAAGGCTTAGAGGTCGGATATAGGCGAGAAGGTCCAGGAAAACTGGCGTGGATCTGGTGTCTGCAGGGAACAGAGTGTGACAGAGTGATCTTGATCTAGGGTGGATCTACCTGCGGTGAACTGAAGGGGGTGGCTGGGTGGGTAGGCTTCGGTTCCTGGCCAGAGATTGAGGGATTGAGGCAGGTTGGTGGTGGTGTGAACACCGAATCCTGGTCACTAGACCGGTGGTCAGTGACAAGGCCCTAGCCCTTCAGTTTTGCAGGAAAAAAATTCCCACAAAGAGGGGAAGCCATGAAACAGAGTATTTATTAGGAGGAGAAAAGAGTACCATACCTTTTGGACTGTACACCAGCGGACTGAGGGAGAGTCGTGCTGTGGTGGTTTTAGTCGCATTTGTGGGGCATTTATTTCTGGTTTTCTTTGGCCAGTCATCTTGCTTTGCCTGGTTTTGAGTCAGTATTTGGTGTATCTCAGGATTTTCCTGCGTGTAAGTGCATCTTGTAGCCAAGATGAATTCCAGTGAAAAGGCTTATTGGGTAGTTGACATCAGCTACTATGAGGTGACACCTCTTCCTTTTCCAAGGAGGTTTTCTGTGCTGACTTCCAAGGAGCCTTTCTGTGCATGTGTTGTGGGAAGGTCTCCTTAACTTCAAGAATGGAAAATATATGGTTTCTTATGTTTTATGTGGGCAGGGCCCAGCTTCTATCATCCTGCCCCAGACCTACTCAAACGTGAGAGTCATTTGTGCTGTCTAGAACAGATACCATGTGGATCAGGATTCCAAAGAAGGTTGAGGGAGGGAAGGGTTTTGGCTGCTGAAGGGACAGGGAGAGCAACACAAAAGGGGAAGTGGGTCTTCGGCATCTGTAATCACATGTGCTTCTGGGTGGCTCAAATTGAAGCAAGAATCAGTAAAGGTATAAAAGGGGACTTCAAAGCAACTTTCCACAAGTGCAGTTGTGGGAGTGCAGCTGTGGGGACTAAAGGTGTGAGAAAGGTACAGTCTACAGAATCATGGGTACATGGAGAGGAAGTACTAGCTCATGACCCCAGCATCCTGTTATTGGGGACTGAAGGGTGAAACTTGAGCCCAGGTTTGGTTGTGTCTGTGAGTCACAACCTAGAGACTCCAGGGGAGTTGATTGACAGAATGGATGGGACCCTACAGGCCAGGACGAAAGCTTGGAAAGCAGTCCATCCCAATGTTGCTGAGGACTGAACACAGTGAATAAAGGGACCCTGAAGAATAAGGTGGGCATCAGTGACACCTAGGTCTGGAATTCCTGTTCGATGGAGAGCTTTGGAAGAGGATGAGGGTGGAATAGATGTGTGATGAGATGGATTGTGGGATCCTAGAATGTTCATAGTTTACTTTGTCTCTCATAGAAGTGCAGTGTGACCTTTGAGGATGTGGCTGTGTACTTCTCCTGGGAGGAATGGAGACTCCTTGATGAGGCCCAGAGAAGCGTGTACCTCGATGTGATGCTGGAGAACTATGCACTTATATCCTCGCTGGGTAAGACTCTCACAGCCTTCCCAGTGACCTGGACTAGGCTCTGTCCCATCTCACCCTCCTTTCCCCAGGGAGTGCTCTGTTCTTCTACATGTGGACTGTGAGCACTGCTTGTTTCCCAAGCTTTCTGAGTTGCCGGGGTCCAGCCTCGGCAGGATCCAGGGGATACCTTCAGGATGAACAGCATCGGCGAGAGAGAGAAGACACGTGAGACCAGCCTTGATAGGGCCAAGTCTGCGAGGGAGAGAGAGAGAAAGAGAGAGAGAGAGAGAGGGTGACCAGATGGGGGGTGCAGCAGAGTCTGGCAGAGTCTGGCAAAGCTTTATTTTTCACCGTGGCTTTTATACCCTAAATTAGTACATTTCTAAGGGGAAGATAGTTTAACATTACATCAGCTTGTTCTTCACGAAACCAGGGTGTTTTCTGCATACTTCTTTATTTATGAGGGTCTTGTACATTATCTTCTGGCCTTGGGGCCTATTAACATTTTATGCAAGTAGGTGAATGTAAACCTATTTTCTGTTTCTATGGTGACCTTAACTGAAAGGTAGCAGTCTCATAGGGCAACAGTACAGAGTAGAAGTATAACCTTGTTAACATAAAAATTAATCCTTCTGTAGAAGTTTGTCAGTTGCGTTTATCTAAGAAGTTTACCCCAGACTGACTCTGCGACTTTGGTGAGGCAGCCTCTGCCTAGCACTCCTGGCTGACAAATAGCAACCATCTCATTGTTACTACACTAGAGCTAAGCTCTTATTTTTCTAGATCTGTAACTATATTAACAATGGTTTCTATAACACAACCTTAGCATATTAAGAGTAAAAACACAGCAAGCAAATGTTAACCCAATAACCACTTTTAGAATAATTTTTCTTATGTTTTCTAATAGGACTCCTTCACCCCTCAAAGAGGCTCTATGTCTATTAGGGCCTTTATATGATCAGGTTCTTTATGTGCTGTTTTCTGATTAGGGTATTATGAGCAGTCATGCATATTAGTACCAAGGGCATAAATGCATTTGCCAAACAAACTAAAATACCAACAAAGGAGTTTAAATTAAAACATTCCTTTCACCCTGGATAATCTCATAAAATACCACCACCCGGGAAACTTATTGATTAAAGTTCTAAATTGCTTCTTATTTGGGAAGAGATCGGGGAAGGCCTTCTGCCTGTGTCACAGAAATTAGGGAGTAGTCTATTGAGGCAGGGATCAGAAAGACAGATATCATCTTTAAGGTGGGTGCCGGGGGCAGCTTTTCGAAATCCCTGAAAACCCGATCTGCCTTGCCTGTCAGGCTTTCTCCTCGTGACCTTGTCATGGGTGGGATCTCGTGAGCTGGCCTTTTGGAAACCCCTGAAAACCTGATCCGCCTTGCCTGTCAGGTTTTCTCCCTCATGACTTTGTCATGGGTAGGGTCTCATGTGTAGGCTCCCGGCATCTCCCCCTTTCTTAACTTTTTAAGACAGCCAGATGGATCTCAGTCTCGAGCTTCTGAGTGCTCTGCTGGAGAGTTCTGACAATGCAAGGAAGGATTATAATGAGAAGTAAAACTAGGGCTGCTACAGCAGCGCAACTGAAAGTAGTTGATAGGATATTTTTTCCAGTAATAAATTTAGAAAAGGTATGAAAAAAATCATTAGCAGCTCCTGCAGCAGTAAAGTCCAGGCAGGAATGTTCTAAGGTTTTTATCTGACCATGAAGCTTTCCAAGATCTAAACTAATGTTGGAGCTATTCCATACATGTTAAATATGATTTTTAATCCTTTCCCAATTGTAATCTGTATCATTTACTTTCAGGGGTGTTACACAGATCCACCGATAGTTGGAGTGACAGGGTAGTGCTAACTTTACCCTTAAAGCCTGCAACTCAGTTCTAATATGCATGACTGCTTCTTCTAGGGCATCTATTTTTCCTTTTAATTTCCTATCTATAACCTCTTGCATAGCTAGAGCTAAAGAAACATTTTTTGATATATCATTGACATAGTGAGCAGTATGTACCTGTTGAGTCAAGGATATTGCCACCACAGTGACAGAGGTAATTGCTGTTATCAAAGCTGAAATCCCTAGAATAAGTAGTCCTGCAAACCATCGGGAACGCATTAAATCTTGTAGTTGTTGCAGAACGGCTAAACCGTAATTGTCATACCAGTAGTCATTCACTGTGACGGGCACCATAAGATAAGGTGGGCGTTGCAGCACCACAAAAGAACAAATATTATATTGAGGGGTTAAACAGGATGAAAGCATGCATGGTTCACAGTAGACTATATTGGGTCCACCTGAATAATTCATCTGTATGTGAAGCCCTTTTGAATCATTAGTAAACAAACAAACAAAAAAAAACATAAGGGGAGGGTAAACAAGCCAGCACAGAATAGGTGGAATCATTTTCTGGCCGAGATAGAGTAACAAGGGAGGTGGCAGCAAGGGCTCTCCAAGTTTCTGGTTGCCAAAAAGTTTTGCCCTTAGTAGTATAGGACAACATGGGGGAAACAAACTGATTATAATGCCATCTGTTGGCCACCAGTGGCCAAGGGAGGGAATCATTTTTCCAATTGCTAAACCTACTGACATGGTCAGAAACAGATCCTGGATTCTGACTTGGATTTGGATTGCTCCAGTCTTGTACCGAATAGTTTCCGCCTCCCAGTATTCTATAATCTATTCTCAAATTATAAGTACAAAATTTTCATACCAGGTATCCAAGGCGGTTGTCTATAATTTTCCATATAACGTCTGATGGAGCAACATCAATAAAATTTGGATATTTTGGTGGAGCATTAAGGAACAAGGATTTATAGGGGTCAAGGACCCCAGGCATATGGGCCTGTAATATCCAAACCAGCCGATCTCCTGGTTTTATCTGAAAATTTTGATGCTGGAGAATCTGTCAGAATTGCTTTTTTGGAGGTTCCGACACACCCCTCCTTAGAGGGAGTGATAAGATCACTTCTGTGACTATGGGGGAAGTTAGAGCAAAGGGGAAGGTCATCTGTTAATCCCCTAAAAGTATAGTTAAAATTGATGGGATAGTGATCTTTATCATAAGAAGTATAGGATCCTCCCAAGAGATGAGGCTGGTCTGTGTTGACCCGTATAGGGTCATTGTTCCAGGTAACTACTTGGAAGGTCGGGGGATCAGGGAAATATGCCCAGTATTTTTCTGATGTAGAAGAGGTAGCACTTGCCTGGCAAGACAGTAGAGCAAGCACAGCAATAAAAACCCTTTCAGGAGAGGCTGAGGATCCCTGCAGGGAAGCTATTCCCTGTGCTAGATGACAGAGTGACTTAATTTGTCCCCATGTGGGTATGGAGGCTTGTTGAGTTGCTCGCGCAGGACGTCCTGTTGGTTTCCGTTTGTTCTTCCAGGATCTCCACTGCCGGTTGTTTCAGTGTCTGCTGGACCTTCCAGGTGGGTGGCGGAGGCAAGGGCAGAGGAGTGTCCTTCTTCTTTTGTGGTTGAAGCAATGGGGGAACCGGATGTCTGGGGGACTGCGACATGGCGAATCAGTCTGTCCAGGACCCAAGTTGGTGACTCAGCACTGTGGGGAAAAATACAAGCATACCCTCGGCCACTGGTTAGTAATGGGTCAGGACCCTTCCATTGTCCTGAAAGAAGGTCTTTCTATTTAACCAGAGGCTTTGTACTCTGCTGCTCTGGACTCCAATGTCGGAGCATTGCAGTAACCCCAGATGAATCAGTGTTTAGATTGTTTATCACAAAAGAGCGTGTTGTAGAATCTGGTGAGGGGAACTGTACTTAAATTCACCTTTCTGTAGTTTTAAAATTTGAGTTTTTAGGGTCTGATGTGCTCTTTCTACGATGGCTTGTCCCTGTGGGTTATAAGGGATACCTGTGCTGTTTTATATGAAACCTTGTACAAAAGTCTTGAAACGATTTAGAAGTGTGAGCAGGGGCGTTGTCAATTTTAAGACGTTAGGATAGCACAAGTGGAACAGTGAGGGGTTATTTTTGGTAGAAGCAGAATGAGCTTTTACATGTATTTACTTTACTAAAGTAACAAAAGATTTTAAAAACAAATATAAATCACTTAAAGGCAAAGAAATTTATAATCTGTTATTGGAAGATTCATTCTAAGAAAACTTTGTTCTCTTAACATAGAGAGTAGACTAAATTTCAGTCTGTTACCAATTTACCAGATAGCAGACAGACAAAATTTTTCAGTTAATCTTATAAAAGTCTTTTTTATAAATCTTGAAGTACTAGCAGTATTTTTCTAAAGGCATGAGAGTGAAACCATACAAGGCATGTTTAAAATCTAATTAAATTGTAATTGACAAAGTAGCCTGGTCATTGCTGTGACTTGTAACACTTTAACATGATAACTAAAATTATAACTGACAACATTTTACCAGGACATATCAGATTTTCATGAATTTTACATAATTTCTAGGATACCTATATAAGTAACATCAACCATAGAATATAACCAGAGAAGATTTATCACTCCTCCAACAATAATTCCCATGCAATTTAACATGTCAAATGAACTCAGGTAGTTTAATAGCTCTTTGGGATGTCTCAGGGGCCCTCTGAAGCATCCCAAAGTCAGCTAGAAGTCAAGCTATTTAGGCAGTTTTGTCAATAAATATAAAAAGGGTTTATAGTACTCTGTCAGGTAGAATCATATAGATCACTGTGAAATAATATATTTACTTAACCAAAGTAAAAAAGAAGATTTTAAAGATAAACATAGAACAGATCACTTCAGAGGTAAAGAAACTTAAAATCCATTATCAAAGGCAGTTCAACGTCTCAAGAAAACTTGTATTTATGCACAAAACTCTTCCCTTGGAGTGCACTTTCCATCAAACCTTCTTAACACTTTCTGTACCCATTACTTTGTTCTCCCATCCTGAAAAAGCCACCTGTAAGTCAGACTTACTTCCTTTTTTTTTTTAAGTAAAATGTAACTTCATTTTTCATACCTTCTGTACTGAACACACACATCCTACTTTCTTTAAGCAACCAAGAA